AGTCGATCATCAGATATTGTCCAAGATTAACCTTCAGGGTGGATATAGCTCGCTAGCAGCTTCGCACCGAGGACCTACCCATGTCATCATTTACCCAGAATGCTTTGCGTGTAAATAAAATGGCCCCGTCCGTGTAATATATTTTTTAACTTTTAGTTTAAAAATGATAAAAACTGAACAGCCTACAGTGTTTTTACAGTCTTTATTTCACAGTTAAAATAAATGTTTATCAAACAAAGTCTAATGTTACAACTAATCGTGGATCCCTTTAAGATAATGAAGAGTATTTTCAGACCTAGAGCTGAGATGGAAAATGTTAAAATATCAGACGTGGTCATTTAGACCAAAGAACTGCAGGTTTTATCTTAGTTACATGAAGGAAATTTAATGAAAATCTTTTTTCTCTTGCAGTCCTGCAGCAGCAAAGCTTCATAGATTTCATTTTTCTGCTTTGTTTTGTAGTTAAAGTTCAGCCTGGCTGACATCCGGGTGTTTGCTGACGTCACGCATCACGTAGGAGCTATTTTAGTAACCCAGAAGTGAATCACTTGTAGTTCATCCAAACCTCACTTTGCTTTTTGTGTGAGTTGTACCGACTTGTTAGCAGTTTTCAGCAGACATTTAATGAGCGCTGATCTATTTTTTTAAATTAAAAATTGATTTTAAAGAATACTTCCTCTAAAATCCGTCACTCCCGAGAATTAAATATTTTCCTGCCRTTATAAGAAGCTTGATTCCGATAAAAGAAAAAAAAAATCAGCTCAGCTTCGTGCTGCGTTCAGACCCTGCTGGAGTTTTGTGTTTTTCGTTTTCTTTTATAGATCCAAACTGCGAGGTGGGGGCAGACGTGAAACGTGAGCTCAGATCTGCGCACGCCATCACACTCGTACCGCCGGGTCACAGAGACGACCCGTGTTTGATACGAGCTGCTTAATAATTCAGAACCGAGCCGGGGTCACATCTGAGGTGTGTTACAGGCGTCTGTCCACGGGGAGACACCGAGCCATGAGAAGGCTTTCAGCACAGAGAGAGGGGGAAAAAAAATCAATGTTCTGAGTGGTGACTAATAAACCCACCTCCCCCCCTCGGTGGTCCGACACACCGTTATTATATCTGAGGGCAGCGCGGTGTTGAAGGACTATTATTACTGTACAAATAGAGAGTTCTCATTCAGCCGAGCCGGAGGTCAGGGGCTGAGTGCTACATGCATACTCCTGTCTGAAATGATGAAAAAATAAATAAAAACTGTTTCAGCAGCGTCGGCGTTACAGAAAGATAATAATCGGTTACATAAACCGGTCAGATATWATGAGATCTGGTTGTTTGCAGTACATGTTGAGGACGACTCTCTGCTACTACCACCAAACTTTATTTAGTGTCCAAAAGTATGGTGTTACATTTGTGCCATCAGCTTGAGCGCGCAGTAACACTGGTTTGAGAGCGCTTATCAATAGTTTGAACCACGTGCGTTCAAATGACACACAGCTCCCTCCTCTGTTTCCCCTCTGCTCGCTCACAGCTCTGTCTCTGCGCTCACAACCCAAGTTGTGTGTAAATGAAACACATCACCAGCCAATCACAGACAGGGTTTATTTTTTCATCCAATCAAAGCACTTGTTGCAAATCTACTAAACCAAGAGGCAGAAGTGACAAAATCTTAGATGCAGGCCCATTAAATCAGCAAAAGATGAGATATATTTTAAATATTTTGTAGCCCAGAATATTTAGTTGAGCATACAAATTTGTTTACAGTGATTGTGTATTTTTAGGCAATGCATCTCTGTAACCCAGGTAGAAAAAAACACAAGTTTAACTTAACTTTTTAAATTATTAT